CGAAACATGTAAACGGACATATGTCCATTTACACCCATCTACTTCCAACCTGATCTGCTAAAAACAAAGGCATGGGGATCCATTCCCCTCTGCCTGAGTGTATCATTCATCATCACTGTCCCCAATCACCGCCACCCACAGCATCCCTGTTCAGTGCCATGCTACTTAGTGTCCCTTTCCACCACCACACCAGCCATATTGTCCCTGATCAGCACCACACTAGTAATTTTGTCCATAATCACTGCCCACCAGTCATATTGTCCCTAATCACTGTCACGTCGTTACAATTTCCCTGATGACTGTCACACCAGTCATATTGTTCTTAATCACCACCACACCTTTCACAGTGTCCCTGGTCACCGCCACACCAGTTGCAGTGTCAGTACACCAGTGTAAGCCAGCAACAGTGTCCCTGATTGTTGCTACACCAGTCCCAGTGTCACCTGACCAGTGCAGGCAGCAACAATGTTTTTGATCACCATCACATCAGTACAGTGTTGCCTCTGCCTACCACCTGTTATGACCTTGGCCTGTTTATTGACCACATTTCTGCCTGTTGCCTGGACCGATCCTTTGCCTGTTTGCTGACCATGTCTTTGCCTGTGACCTGTATGTTTGACTCAGGGGCGTATTTGCCACAAGGCGTTTGCCTAGGACAGCACTTTCCAGGGTGGGAGGCGCGCGGCATCCCCCCCTCCCCTTTTCTCACAGAAGGGACACTTAGAACAGGGGCTGCTGTGTCTTACCTGTGTCCGCGACTCTGTGTTCCACTTCGATCAGGTCCACGAGGTGCTGCTGGAGGAGGGGTAGAGAGGTTGTCCGGTGCCTTCATTTCCTTGGATCTTGGATTGTGTGTGATGATGGGGCACCATTCCTCCCGCTGACATCAATGAAGGGGCACCATTCCTCCCACTGACACCAATGAATGGGGCACCATTCCTCCGGCTGACACCAGTGATGGGGCACCATTCCTCCGGCTGACACCAGTGATGGGGCACCATTCCTCCGGCTGACACCAGTGATGGGGCACCATTCCTCCGGCTGACACCAGTGATGGGGCACCATTCCTCCGGCTGACACCAGTGATGGGGCACCATTCCTCCGGCTGACACCAGTGGGGGGGCACCATTTGGAAACTCAGGCACTGCCCACCAGTGATGGGGCACCATTGCCCCTGGTACCTTTTGACACCAGCTTTTTCGAGTTTGGGGCACAGGGGCCCCATGATCCCCTCCGGCTGACAGAGGGTCCGGACTGACACTAATTGGAAACTCAGGCACTGCCAGTGGGGTCACTGTAAGGGGTCCCATGAGATGCCCCTGGTACCTTTTTTCATGGGGCTTTTTTCGAGTTTGAGCAAGGACACAGGGGCCCCATGATCCCCTATTGCCCAGTGATGGGGCACTGTCCCTCCCACTGACACCAGTGATGGGGCACTGTCCCTCCCACTGACACCAATGATGGGGCACTGTTCCTCCCACTGACACCAGTGATGGGGCACTGTTCCTCCCACTGACACCAGTGATGGGGCACTGTCCCTCCCACTGACACCAGTGATGGGGCACTGTCCCTCCCACTGACACCAGTGATGGGGCACTGTCCCTCCCACTGACACCAGTGATGGGGCACTGTCCCTCCCACTGACACCAGTGATGGGGCACTATTCCTCTAAATGACACTGATAATGAAATAAAATAAGAGGTGGAGTGGAGGCTAAAGAGAAATGGTGGACTTTACAGATGAAGGGGTGGATTTTAAACAGAAAGGGGTGGGGCAAATTTAGATGCGGGGAGTGCCCGATTTTAGTTTTGCCTAGGGCAGCACAAAACCAAAATACACCACTGGTTCGACTGACTATGTTCCTGTGAGACACCAGTCCCAGCCGTTCCCTGGGACTGCTATAGGTGACGCTACAATATTCCCTGACCACTCATATAGAGGCGACATTACAATACATTGGTTTGTATACAATTGGTTGATTTGTGTGATACATGATATACAATGTCCAATATATAATCGGCCTCATATATGAGGAAAAAAGCCTCATATATGTGGTATTGCCATACTGAGCAAAGAGTAGCAGAATGTGTTTTGGGGTATAAGTTTAAGTATGCCCATGCTGTGTGTAAGAAAACTCTTATTAAATTGACAACTTTGTCTACAAAATTAATTTTTTATTTTATTTCTGCATTTTCCAAAATCTTGTGTCAAAAAATGAAGTATACAAAAGACCCACCATGCCCCCTAAAAAATACCTTAGGGTGTTTGGTTTCTAAAATGTGGTCATTTTGTGGGTGTTTTTTATGCTCTGGTGCTCCAGGGCCTCCAAACGTGATAAGTAGTCAGGATATTCGCTGAGTAACATATCCCCCAGAACTCCTGAAAGTGCTCCTTGGATTTCAGGCTCCTTGGATTTTGTGGCTAGGCTGTGAAAAAGTCTCACAAATGTGGTATTGCCATACTCGGGAGGAGGAGCAGAATGGGTTTTGCGGTGTAATTGTAAGCATGCCTATGCTGTGTGTTAGAAATATCTTATGAATTGATAACATTCTGTAAAAAAAAAAAAAAAAAAAAATACATTTTCATTTTCTTTCCTGCATTTTTCAAAAAACGTTTTCAAGAAATTACTCACCATGCCTTTCAGAAATTATCTTGGAATGTCTGCTTTCTAAGATGGGGTCATTTTTTAAGTGTTTCCACTGTCCTGGTGCTCCAAGGCCTCAAAAAATTTGATGGGTAGTACTTGGATTTTGGACCCCTGTATGCATCTAGGCTGTAAAAAAGTATCACACATGTGATATCCCCATACTCCGGAGACATAGCAGAATGTGTTTTGGGGTGTAATTACAAGTATACCTATTCTGTGTGTTGGAAATACCTTGTCAGGGCTCCGGGTATGACCAGAGGTATGTGAACTGACGCAGGGAAACGCAGGCTTCAGCTATGTTATAAACAATAAGGCAATTTATTAAAGACTAACAATACAAACATAAACGCAGTGCACCAAACCCCAAGCTAACACAAATACATACAACAAGGTGAAACAAACCCAAACCTAAACTGATACAGATACACAGGTACATACACATATAGAGCACAACGTAATCAGGCAGGCCGGGTCGATAACTAACGGGCAGGTAGGTACAGGAGGAGCAGGCGGAGAGAATGGTCAGGGTCACAAGCCAGGGATCAAAACAGGAGAAGTCAGCAGAGGTCAGGATCAGACCGGGTTGGCAACAAGTCAGGCAGAGGCAGGAACAGGAACGCAGATTACAAGATACAGGGGCCCATGGAAAAACACACACCAAGGCACAGACTGCAGGTCTGGCCATCCCTTAAATACACCTGCTTAATCAGCTTCAGGTGTTTGGCTGGCTGCAGGGTTGAGTCTCTGATTGCTGAGAGCACCCGCTGGCCAGCCCTGGTACTGCAGCCACAAGGCAGGTGAGTCCCACCATTACTGGCAAGTCCATTCCTGACTGACAGTACCCCCCCCTCAAGGAGCGGCCTCAGGACGCTCCAAACAGTCCTAGCTGGGCAAAATGTTCTACTGCCCTGGTCTGGTAACTGGCAGGATATCAAAGACTGGCACACATCGGGCTGGACTCCGGGCAGCGGCGCATCGGGCTGGACTCGGGCAGGCATCGGGCTGGAGGCGCATCGGGCTGGACTCCGGGCAGAGGCACATCGAGCTGGATACCGGATCACCAGGCGGAGCACCGGGCCCCCAGGTGGGGTGGCGGGCGCCGAGCTCCCAGGCGGGGCGCCGGGCCCCCAGGCGGAGCGCCGGGCCCTCCTTCGGGCGCCGGGCCCTCGAGAGGAGGGGCGGCAGGCACCGGGCCCCCGGGCAGAGCGACGGGCCCCCAGGAGGGGCGGCGGGCGCCGGGTCATCAGGCACAACAACGGGCATCGGGTCATTTGGCTCGCCAGCGGGCACTGCGTCATCTGGCAAGGCAGTGGGCACCGAGTCACCAGGCATGACAGTGGGTTCCGAGTCAACTGGCATGACCGCGGGCACTGGGTCAGACATTGGATCGTCTGGCTCGACAGCGGGCATCGGGTCACCAGGCATCAGGTCATTTGGCTCGACAGCGGACACCGCGTCATCTGGCAAGGCAGTGGGCACCGAGTCACCAGGCACGACAGTGGGCTCTGAGTCAATTGGCACGACAGCGGGCACCGGGTCATCAGGTATCGGATCGTCTGGCTCGACAGCAGGCACCGAGTCACCAGGCATGACAGCGGGCACTGGGTCATCAGGCATTGGATCGTCTGGCTTGAGGCCGGGCCCTCAGGCGGAGCACCGGGCCCCCAGGCAGGCGGAGCGGTGGGCGCCGGGCCCCCAGGAGGAGCGACACCGGGCACCAGGAGGAGCGACAGGCACCGGGCCCCCAGGAGGGGCAGCGGGCACCGGGCCCCCAGGCAGAGCCGGCGGGCACCGGGTCATCAGGCTCGCCAGCGGGCATCGGATCATTCGGCTCGCCAGCGGGCACCGCATCATCTGGCAAGGCAGTGGGCACCGAGTCACCAGGCACGACAGTGGGTTCCGAGTCAACTGGCATGACCGTGGGCACTGGGTCAGACATTGGATCGTCTGGCTCGACAGCGGGCATCGGGTCACCAGGCATCAGGTCATTTGGCTCGACAGCGGACACCGCGTCATCTGGCAAGGCAGTGGGCACCGAGTCACCAGGCACGACAGTGGGCTCTGAGTCAATTGGCACGACAGCGGGCACCGGGTCATCAGGTACCGGATCGTCTGGCTCGACAGCAGGCACCGGGTCACCAGGCATGACAGCAGGCACTGGGTCATCGGGCATTGGATCGTCTGGCTCGACGGCGGGCCCTCAGGCAGAGCGGCGGGCGCCGGGCCCCCAGGCGGAGCGGCGGGCGCCGGGCCCCCAGGAGGAGCGACGGGCGCCGGGCCCCCCAGGAGGGGCGACGGGCCCCCAACAGGAGGGGCAGCAGGCACCGGGCCCCCAGGCGGATAGGCGGGCACCGGGTCATCAGGCACGACAACGGGCATCGGATCATTTGGCTCGCCAGCGGGCACCGCATCATCTGGCAAGGCAGTGGGCACCGAGTCACCAGGCACGACAGTGGGTTCCGAGTCAACTGGCACGACAGTGGGTTCCGAGTCAACTGGCATGACCGCGGGCACTGGGTCAGACATTGGATCGTCTGGCTCGACAGTGGGCATCGGGTCACCAGGCATGACAGCGGGCAGTGGGTCATCAGATACCGGATCGTCTGGATCGACAGCGGGTACCGGGTCATCAGGCATTGGATCGTCTGGCTCGACAGCGGGCATCGGGTCACCAGGCATGACAGCGGGCACTGGGTCATCAGGCGTGATAGGATCATCAGGCTGGATCAGTTTCATCAGGCTGGGTAGAGACATCAGGCTGGGTAGAGACATCAGGCTGAAGTGCGGGGTGCCGAGGCACCAGGCTGAACCACGGAAGGCAGGTTCTCAGACGGCAGGCCCACCGGTTTGGATACTGGCAGGATGGTACTGGTTGGGAAGAATTTTTGCTTTTTTCTGGTTTTAGTTACCGGAGCGCTGTAAGTAAGCGCAGGTTTGTAAACGGATGGAGCAGCTGAAGACAGAGAAGAGCTGGAGGATGGAACAGAGGAGGGAGCAGTTGCTACAGAGGACTTCTTTACAGGGTTAAAGGCAGGATAGGTGCAGCGAGTGAGAGCAGAGGGCTGATATGTGGTAGTTAGAGTATACTGGACCATCACTGGGGGTGCTGTCGGGGATGTAGGAAGAGTGCCTTGAGCGGAGGAATGACGTTGTAAGCTGACGAAGGATGGGTGCAACAAGTCTGACCATGTCTGCAGTATGGGTTGAACAAAGCTCAGCTTACACAAAGCCTGTCTGGTCAAAGACTGCACTGCGTTTATACAATCCCTTAATACCTGTGGTGAACATGCAGCATAATGCTCCAAGAAGCAATCCACATCATCCTCTAATAACCATACCAGGGACTCTACCTGGTCTGCACTAAATGGTGGCAAAAAGTCATTCCTGCTTTCAGGGGTACCAGATGAAGCCAACTCTACACAAACCTGAATCAAAGGTTGCACCTCAGAGAACTCTGTGCCCTGATCTACTAGAACATGAGCGATCCGTATACATTCTAGCAGTTGATCCCGGGTATACTCCCTCAGAGCCTGATAAGCATATTCTCTGTCATCAAAAACCAGCAGTGACAAATACACAACCTCATCAAGATCCATCCTTCCCAGCAACAAGCCAAGATGGCTTCCCTGTGCAGCCACTTCTGGTCAGGATTGGCCTTGGTGTAATGTTAGGGCTCCGGGTATGACCAGAGGTATGTGAACTGACGCAGGGAAACGCAGGCTTCAGATATGTTATAAACAATAAGGCAATTTATTGAAGACTAACAATACAAACATAAACGCAGTGCACCAAACCCCAAGCTAACACAAATGCATACAACAAGGTGAAACAAACCCAAACCTAAACTGATACAGATACACAGGTACATACACATATAGAGCACAACGTAATTAGGCAGGACAGGTCGATAACTAACGGGCAGGTAGGTACAGGAAGAGCAGGCGGAGAGAATGGTCAGGGTCACAAGCCAGGGATCAAAACAGGAGAAGTCAGCAGAGGTCAGGATCAGACCGGGTCGGCAACAAGTCAGGCAGCAGGCAGGAACAGGAACAGGAACGCAGATTACAAGATACAGGGGCCCATGGAAAAACACACACCAAGGCACAGACTGCAGGTCTGGTCATCCCTTAAATACACCTGCATAATCGGCTTCAGGTGTTTGGCTGGCTGCAGGGTTGAGTCTCTGATTGCTGAGAGCACCCGCTGGCCAGCCCTGGTACTGCAGCCCACAAGGCAGGTCAGTCCCACCATTACTGGCAAGTCCATTCCTGACATACCTTATTCATTGACATTGAAAAATAAATTTTCATTTTCTTTCCTGCACTTTCCCAAAAATGTTGGTCAAAAATTACTATTTGCTTTTCAGAAAATATCATGTTAACATGACAACCTAGTGAAAAAACGAATTTTATTTAATTTTCAAAAAAATTGTGACCAGAAATTACAACTTCATAAAACTCACCATGCCTCTTACTAAATAACTTTCTACTTTCCAAAAAGGAGTGATTTGGGGGGTATTGGTGTGACGATCGCAGCGTCAGACCCCTGACCTTCTCACCAAACTCGTGACCGAGGGATCAGCCAATCTAAAACCGCAATGTCACGTGCGTAACTATGCCACGCCCAGCTGCACCCTGCACAACGATTTTCCAGCTAATTGGACCACAGTCTATGTACCAGCAGCCTGGGAGCGATTGTTACTGGTTCAGGTTAATTACGCAATTAACCCTTCACACTGCCACCATCTCCTTTTTGTACAGAAAAAGCAGAAACTCGGCGATATTCGCTATAACACTATAATGGTTAAGATAATCGTCTGTATGACACTGCCACCGCAGACCGGTTATACAGAGGGTTAAACAAACACAGTAGCGCTCTTTTTAGAGGCAAGAATTCGTAAATTGCAATAAAGAGCTATAGAAACAGTTCAACACTTTCAGAAGGAAAGATTTATTACTAAAAGGTCAAAAGAGTGCGATAAAAATATTTACAGAAAAAAGATGTAACTAATATATATAAATATACAGAGAACAACAGCACAGCAAAGAGATAACAGAAAGGAGGTTAAAGGGTTAAAGTAATTGCCAATCAGCTTTGGGTTTGCAGATCAAGTTTCAGAGCAAAAGGGTGCGGGTCTCCCCAGGTGGTTCTGATGATAAAAGGGAGAAATCTTCAACTTAACTCTCTTAGGCCTGACAACCCATTTTGTAGTTCCCCAGCAGGGGGTGTCTCTGAAGTCAAGGACCAATACCCTGTTTAGGGAGGGATCGTCTGGGCGTAGGCCTAAACTAGACCCCAAATCTCTTATTGTTCATATTTTGGCTCATAACTTTCCATATGCATAAGTAACATTCCACCAGTGGGTAGATTATTATGCAGACACATCTGAGGAATGATTAGATATGAAATATGAAATTATACACTGAATGGTTCAAGAGATCTGCTTTCTTATGTATTCCAGCCAAGGAGAGTGACCTATCAAACTGTTTGTCTCTTCATGACCAATCTGAAGATATGCCTGGTTTTTATGTAAGTCTCTCATATTCAAGATATGAGACATAGGGGAAAAATGGATTTTAAAAGTGTTATCTGGTCTGTGCTTCTCTGGAATGTCTTTGAACTCCTGAGAAGGCTTGCATTATCGTTTACAATGTGCTAGATTGCACAGCTCTCTTAGACAACAGGGCACTTCGGGGCTCCCTACTGGGCTCTGGCCTGTGACACTTTTTAACACACAGGCCATATGTCAATGTGTATGAACAGAGAGGAAGGGGGGAGAATGAGAGGGGGAAATATGGACAATTCTTAACAAAATGGAGGGCCGTGTCTGCCTCTGGTGTGCACGATTGCGACAATTGGTACTGGTCTGGCATTTTATTTCTCAAGAACTGAGAACGGCAGTCAGTACATCAGGACTGATCAGTTTTTAAATATATATACCGTAGTTTGTAGACTCTAACTTTCACCGCAGACTAAGCAATGCAAACTGATTTTGGTTATTTTTTACCAAAGAAATATAGCAAAATACATTTTGGCCTAAATTTATGAAGAAAGGTTATTCATGTGCAAAATTTTAGAACAGAAACTGAGAAAAGTGTTTTATTTTTTCTTTTTCAAAATTTCCAGTATTTTTTGCTTATATTGCAAAAAATAAAAAAGCCAGTGTTGATTAAATACCACCAAAATAAAGCTCTATTTGTCTCAAAAAATGATAAAAATTTAATTTCAGTACGCGCTTCATTCAAAGTGTGACAGCGCTGAAAGCTGAAATTTGGCCTGGGCAGGAAGGGAGTAAAAGAGTCCAATGTTGAGGTAGTCAAAATAGATCAATAGCCAATCCCAAAAATCTCACATAATGCTTCAAATTTAAATGTAATTAACAAAAGTTGTCAGTCTTTATAAAGCAGCAGCCTTTTTTTGAATAGTTGGTGATCCTGCCAAAAAGGTCCTCGTTCATTCACTTTCTGTTATGAGCTGACAAATGTCTACCAGTTGTGCTCTAGCAATGTCCTCCTTAAAAGTCACCCCTGGCTGACACTGTAAGTGACTGTGCTACCAACATTGTCACTATCAGGAAGCCAGTGTTTATATCTATTTTAACTATCTATGCCACTAGGGCCCCATCTCGTCCTCTCCTTTGACTGATGTGCTGCAATATGTTTCAACAAGTTTACAATTCAACAATGCGAGACAAAACATGTAAAATACACGTGCTGCTGCAAGCATCTCATTTCTGGTGTGTCCTAACAAACATAATACAAAATATAAAAAATGCAGCGCTAATCACAAACACAAACGATGTCAATTGGATGACGAAAAGCGTTGGGTGGAGCTTCGGCATGTGACATCATCACGTTCTTTTTGGAGTTAAGGTGGCCATTTTCTTGGCTGAAAACTTAATACATATGCTGGTAACCATCCATAACAATGTAAGAGTAACTTGAAATTGAACAGGGTGAATGTATCACTCAAATACTACACTATGAGTGGCTATTTTCTTTTATCCTTTACTTAAATATTGGATGAGAGTATTCTTTTAGGACCAGCTTCAGATCCTTAAAGGGCAAGATTGATATCAACTTGGATGAGGACTGCTGATTCCATGATTCATATGTTCATCTCCCAATGGAGTTGCCTATATTGACCAATATAATTAGGTCAGAATTTCTGGTAAGAGTCTGAACCATTTGGATGTCCTGGTGATGGTGGATCGTGGGAATATTTTTGGGACTTTTATAAATTGGAACTTTTTTTATGTTTTTGGAATTTTTGTGTTTGTGTATTAGCGCTGCATTTTTTTATATTTGTATTATTATGTTCATTGCCTAATGTGCGAGCTGCTTTTCTATGCTATTTGTTTAGTGTATTTACCTAAGCGCAGGTTTTCTGTTTTTTTGTTCTAACAAACAACCTATAAAACAAAAAAAAACCTCAATGTGGATGGGAGAATTTTCCCCATTGATTATTCTATTCTAATTTCCCCGCTATCAGAATACACTGATCAGCACTGCCAACTATAGCCTGCAGCACTGATCAAGCAGGGAGAATCTGACAGGGTGGTTGTACAGAGGTCAATCAGTAGTCAATTTTTGTACAACCTCACTGCCCATACATAGATTCAAATTCACCCATTCTCTGCTGAAGTCGACGAATTTTGATCCACGTATGGCCAAATTTAGTCCTGTTTCTACCATAGTGAATAAGTACTGAACTGATAAGATGATTTCTGATTTTGATTTCTTAAACAAACACATGCATCTATTGGGAGCACTGTGTATGCTGAAAATATTCAGTAAAAATAAAGAGAACCTGCTTAATTTTGATGTACTATATCTAAAAATATCCCATGAACGTTTTCTTCCAAAAATAAGCGTGGAAAATAATTGCTGTAAACCAGCCTAAAAGTAGGTTAACATTCAAGAAAGGTATAATGCCACTTCGTTGTCCTACTTTTCACAGGTCACAAACCTCAAGACTGTGTTTGTAGAGTGAAGTAATAATGTCAGATATAACAACAGTCCTGCAATCTGAGACATTGGGGTTGATTTAATAAAGAAACAGAATAGTCACACCATGTACAGCAGAATGCAAGAAAATGTCTCAGATTGCAGAATGCAAGAAAATGTCTGCTTTTGAAATTCCTCTGCACATGGTTGTATATTTGAAGTGTAAACTTGA